CTCAGACGGTTCAGATTCTGACGTCATTATCCGGGTAATTCACAATGTCAGCTTCGATAAAAAAAGAAGTGAAGATTGACTTCATTCTTCAATAAAGACAATGTTAACGTTTGTGGGCCGACGGAATCTACCGGAAACAACTCTGCGCCTATACCAAATGAGGTTTCCCAACCAAATCAATCGGCGAATGCTGCAACAACTGCGAAATCCAAGCAAAATGATAAATTATGCTCCGTTCGATAGTTTGCCGTTCGAAGCGAGTTTTTCTGAAAGCAATTTTTGGTTGCGGTATGATGGTAATAAAATGACTTGCACAGTATGTATAACTGAAAATAAAGACAATCCATTCACATCGGGATCCACAAATTTTAGAGTTTTGTAGTACCGTATGGTACTGGTTACGGGAGTTGACGGAAGTTCGGAACTAGTATGTTAGGCTTGACAGTTGGGCGCCATGTTAGTGTAATTTATAACTAGAAGAAGTAGGCAATTCCTAGCTTGGCTACGATCCAGACGTGGAAGGTAACTAAATTGTTTGTATTGTCTACCAAAGCTCCATAATTTTACCGATTGGGTACGAATTTGCCCTCAAATTAACCCTGATGTAGTGGTCATTTATCAGGTCTAGGATTTCATGATATTTATGGACTGTCCGTAAAGAGCAAGGTTCACTAAGCACCAAAAATGGCCCCATCTTAGATAATGATAAAAACCTAAAGGTGTATAGTACAATGTGTTACATTTTCAAAATAGACATTTATTAGGCATTTCTGGTTACTATGACGACATAATGACGTCATAATTAGAGCACCTGCTTGATTCAATTAAATCACAAATTTGACGACAATTTTCATACAAGACTAATAAATTTGTGTGTTTGACTGAATTAAACTCATAAAGATAGCAATATATTTCTTATATATTGTAAACAAAATTATAGTTTAGTTAAAATTAGACTATTGTGTCACAAAACTAATATAAAAGATAAATGGAGCTCATTTCGGATATTCCAAATTCGGATATTTAGAAATAAAAAATGTGCATGCATATTATTTTTCGCCTAACTAAATGTATTTATTTTTACTTTTATAAATACTGAAAGTTTGTTCATTTTTTAATAATAAATGTCTAATTTGCTTGTTATATTCATCTACTTCTTATATTACGCTTAAAATAAGGGTGTATAGAATCAATCGCAATTTTAACGGCCTTTTTAGTCAGTCTTTAGACAAGGACGTTGAACATAATAATAATTATAATAATAATAATAATAATGATAATGATAATTATTATTATTATTATTTTTATATATTATATTATAATAACACAAAACAGATAGGTATTTCTGTCTAACCTAACTAAACTTACACTGAGTAACTATATACATGTAAATAGTATGTAAATACTAGGAGTTGTTGACTTATTCCAATGTATAGTGTAAAAGACTGACTAAAATAAGTAAATTTATAGATATAAAAGTACGTTAGAATTTTTTTGTCAAGTAAAAATAATGTTTGACTGTATGCTCTTTTGGAGTATACGTAATATTTGATACTGAACTGCAAATTCCATACTATTTTCTTTTATGAATTATGATACAGCCAAATCCAGAAAACTATTTGTGTAATTTATAATTATGGAAATCAGACTTTTATTACAATTGTAATGTAATGATCCATGACGATATGAGAACTCAGAAAAAAACAAGAGCTGTCACAGAACGTGACAAATGCCCCCGAAGGATTCTAGTTCTAAACCAACTATTACATGTTAAGTGTGGTGGTAAAAATTGACAAAGTTTGAACCCCAGCAGTGAACTATAAGTTATACAAAGAAACCTAGGCTTGTTCACAACACATTATCCATTAATGGTGACTTTATATTTTTAAATAAAAATTGAAACTTTTATGTATATGGAAGTTACAGAGCGGACACAACAACCACCATTTATATGTATATAACATAAATATTGAAAAAGTTTAAACCCCAGCAGTGACCTTAAACTAAGGCGTAGGAACACGGGTCTTAAGGGCAACACATCATACATTTATGATAATTTCATATGTGAAATAAAAAATATAATCCTTTCATGCATATTATTTTCAGAGCAGACACGACTATCTCTGCCTATATGTATATTAATATCAAAATTAACAAAGTTTGAACCCCCAAAATTACCTGGACCTAAGTCATAGAAACCAGTCTTGTTCGCGACACACCATACATCTATGGTTATTTCATATATGAAAGAAAAATTAAAATCCTTTCATGCATACTGAATCAGAGCGGACATGACCACCAATGTCTATATGTATAAAGCCTGAATGACTGACGGAATGACAGACTGACGGTTCGATTTTAATATGCCATCCTTCGAGGGCATAAAACATTTATTTACATGTATTCATAATTTATGTGACATAAAACAACTCTAAGTAAGATTTGGTTTATATGATTCCAATATGCCCTTACATCTACATAATGAGTGTAAATTAAACACTTAACATAAGGAAGCCTACATTCAAAAATTTAATTAAGCATTGTCTCTATTACTGTTACTTTTAACGATTCTCTTTCACACTGTATTGAATGGCTATCAATTTCAAAATACCTGTATATATGTAGCTACATGATCAGCAAGATTATCAGCCAATTTTCTCACTCCTGACTGAGTCTCACAACTCCTCATGGTGTCCATATGCGAGGTACCATGTAACGGTGGAGACATAGGAACACATTCAAACTACATGTGCACCAGCCATAAGAAAGGCAGTAATACACATCAATGCTGTCATTCGTGTAGATAATCCAATTCATGAATGTAGTTATGGCTGCTTACATGTATGCTCTGCAATTTCGTGCACAAAATAAAAGGATCCTTTTGAATTGTGAAAAAGGACAAGTCAAGACTTTCTGTCTATTTATTCTTGGAAACAGCTAGAGCTTAATACTGGTCATGCTTTTTTCTCATCCTGGGAAAGTCTACTGAACACATTTCGTCCGTTGACTCCTAAAATAGTTCCTGCTTTGGCAATTTCTTGTGAATATTTTTTAATGAGAATAATACTAAATTATTAAGATTTAAAACTTCTTGTTGAATTTTTAAGCAATTGAATGTCTAACAAATCTTTAATACCTTAATAACTATGAAATAGCACTGACTTAAAATTCTAAAAATCTGAAGGAATAAATACATTAATGAAATAACATATTATTTACTGAAAAAGCACTATCTATTTTATTAATTATTAAAACGAAAAAAAAAAGAAGAAAAAAAAAGAGTTCATGATCAAGGTTTTGAACTCAATTCTCCTGGGTGAGAGGCTCCCATTCTACCACTGAGCTAGTGCCACATTACGACATGTTATGACATCATTTAACAAGTAGTTTTACAAATACATCAATGCAGACGATGTGGAATTATAAAGTTTAAATACTCTACATACAGTACTGTATCTTTAAATTGTTTTGAGACTTGCAATAATTTTATTTTCACAAAGTTAATTGAATTCTTCTTATCTACCTTTTAAAAAGACATAAAAACCTCTTAGTCTTAATCACTGTGTTTAAACGACCACAGTTGTTTTTTGTTGTTGTTGTTGTTGTTTTTTGTGAGGGCGAAAGAACCGGACCCAGATCAAGTATTCAGCAATAAAATAGCTTGAACAGCATAACTTCTTTCAATGAATCAATAAAATTACATAATAACACCTTGCTAATTCTAAGAATGAAATATTTAGGCATAAGAAGAATTTCAGCATTTATTTATAAGCGTTTACATATAATTCTTTTAACCTGCCAGAGTTTTGTTTACAACCGTTACAGTGGAAACCGTCGAACTCGTACCAAAACATAATCGTACTTATTTTAGTGAAAGTGCCTTTAATTACTAGAAATGATTTTCCTGCAAACATTTATTAAAATATATGTTATGAATCATATTTCAACAACTTAGAATAAAAATTAATAATGTTGAGTTCAATATACATGCTCCATACATTTGCATTTACTGAAATTAATGCCAGAAAATGACGTTTAGATATTAGATAAAAATCTTATTTTGGAATAGAGCACAGGCAAGCCCCGACTTTATATTGATATAGTTGAAGCCTTTGATACATTACAACACAATGGTGTAATGATTTTGTTGGGGCTGGACTGTGCTGATACTTTAATTTTCGTTTAAAACACCAAAAATACGTGAATTTTCCTAATTTTGTTGGAAATAGGGGTATTTCCATAGAACATAAATCATACTAAATGTAAACATATGTCTATAAATTCATATTTTTTTAACAGTTTAAGGATTCAACTTATAAATAAAACCTTAAAACTAGAACTTTTCATCAAATTATTTTTTGCCAAAATCTTGGGCAAAAATCCATGGTTAGTGAACCTAGCTCTTTATGGATAGACTCACCGGACCTATGCTAGTCTAGAAATTTAACGATAGTCTAGAAATTTAAAGATTTTTCAATCAATAAATTTTCAATAAATTTACAAATCTATATTTTTTTAGTTTTACACTAAAATCTGCAGCTTCTGACTAGTTTTTTTATTGATTGTAATTGTATTTTATTTACAAAACGTAATGTGGTGAGTTTCATCTTTGCATGATGTTTTTCAAATATTTAGTAAAAGTTAAAATTGAAAGTCATCATATTGTTTTGAATCTTTCCATACTGTTACATTTAATCATATAGTATGTAACCTTATTAATTTTAGCCTGTGGTTTTGAATTTTAATGCAACTTCTAATATTTTCTTACTTAATGGATACAAAAATCTGTAAAATTATGGCTCGTCCAAAAATTAACAGACTGTCCTTAAATATCATAAACTCCTAGACCTGTTTATTCTGCATTATTTTATTCTAACATAATCTCATGGGAACACACTTGCAACTGTAATAGGGGTGATTCGGCGCAATATAAATATAATTATCCGAGCCCCTGAGGGTCAAGTAAGTTCGGGATTATTAAATCATTTCAACAACAGCTGTGAAGTTCTTATATGTTTATATACCAATCCAATCTTCTAATAAGGTTGTTACATCAAGTAGATTTGATAAGTACAAACCAACAACACTCTGAAATAAGTATATAACAATATGTAAATATAAAGTAAAATAAAGTAGAAACAATGCATTAATTATTATCATATCTTACATAATCAATTACATGTCTAGTGGCCAATTCAGATCTTTACACTCAGCAACAGTCCTTAAATATCATATCATAGCTTATGGAATTATACACACAATTAACATATTTTATCTTTTAAACAATACACAATACATCACACATGTAACTTACCATCTGAGGGATGAGTGCAGTACATCAATCTAACTATTATCTCTCTGACTATCACACCAGTGACTGTTAACTGCAAGGTTAAATATTAATAGTGAATAAAAGATGAAAGGTGATTTGATAGATACATGTCATTCTGAAACTCATACTTATTTACAAATTTCACAATCAATGGACTGAACCAAAATACAACAGAATCACAATAATGCAATTCTACATATTTACAATAAAGCATTTAGCAGCAGTCAGGATAAATACATACCAACTTAGGAAATAAAGAACTTGACCACAAACACTAATTTTTCTAACCTCTCCTTTACAACATAACAAAGACACAATGACTTTTCCCACCAAGAAATCACATGACATAAAAATAGCTTAAAACCAACGATCCGTGAACCAATCATTTGAATTCTTAGAATACTGACCAATGTAAACAAAAGCTAAAATCAGTTAAAACCAATAGAGTAATCTCCCTTGAAAAGTATCAGACAAGACCGACGGATTTGTCTCCCTTTGCTAAATTATAAAATCCAACAGTAAAGCAAGAGTATTGTCCCTTGGACCTGATCCTAAAAATAAGACCCTGTTACATACTTCCCTGGTCTGAAAAAATGACGTCCCGTCATTGGTCATAAATGTCTTCAGTCCGGTCTTTCTTTTAAATTTACAAACAATAATAATAATACAAAGAAAGTTTTTACCTCGAAAAATTTATCAATGTCTTATACATTAATTGTTACATTGCAATTACCTTCCTATTTTACAAATGTATAGTTATATATACATTATAACATTATTGTCATAAGCATTTAATATCTAAAATAATCAGATATTAAGTGACATTCATTACATTAATGTTAACTTGTTGACATAACATTATATAGCATTTAATATCTGAAATAATCAGATATTAAGTGACATTCAATACTTTTTAAGTTTATTTGTTTACTACTATATACACTATATGTGTCTCTCCTGTGTTTGTTATATGTGTCTCTCCTGTGTTTGTTATATGTGTCTCTCCTGTGTCTACTACATGTGTCTCTCCTGTGTCTGTTACATGTGTCTCTTCTGTGTTTGTTACATGTGTCTCTTCTGTGTTTGTTACATGTGTCTTTTCGGTTGTAATATCTGTCTCTTCTGCCGTTATATACGTCTCCTCTATTGTTTTCTCGGTCTCTTTCACTTTATCTGTCTCTTCAATGTTTGTTCCTGTATCCATATTCACCGTATCTGTCATAGCGATGTCTTCTTCTTGTCCAAGCTCATGAGCAATATCTTCCTCATTCATTTCTATGTCGTCATCAATAATAACTGTTTCGTCATCATTTATATCTGACTCCGGTTGAACATGTTCATGAATTTCATCTTGATTTATTATTTCAATTTGTTCACTGTTCTCACTATGAACACTAGTTCCGCTTGATTCAATACTATTACTTCCTTCACTGTTTCCACTTGTTCCACTGATTACACTTGTTTCACTTTCTCCACTTGCTCCACTTGCTCCAGAGACATGCTTTACAGTAGGAAAATGGGCGTCCCCACTATCATTTGTATGTAGTACAAATTCTTCTTCCTCTGCTTCATTCTCCGAATCATTTCCGACGTCGGCTTTCTCTTTTCTCTCTTTCTTTTCTCTTATAACTCTATTTTTGTCTCCTTTCTCTTGTATGTATTGCTCTCTATGATCTTCTTTCTCTTGTGTGTATTCCTCTGTGTCAGCATCATCTGTTATTTTCCTATAATTAACAGGATGTAGATGATTTCTGTGCAGAGTTTTTTCCTTCTTGGACTTTATCGATCTTAACTTGAATACAGGGACATCTGGTATTGGTTGGTCAATGACTTCGTAGACTTCTTCTTCAAATTTGTCAGCTATTTTATGCTTCCCTTCATATCTTAAAATTTTAACCAAGACTGTATCGCCAATGTTGATTCTTGCTGCTTTAGCTTTGATGTCGTACTGTTCTTTTTGTTTAGCTCTAGCTTTGTCATTGAATTCTTTAACTATTTCTCTTGTTGATGTCATTCTTTTCTTTAAATCTTCTATGTATTCATTTACACTTTTTGTTGTTGTTTCTTCTTCTGTCACTTGTTCGAACATGGAGTCTATCGGAAGCTTAGGTTTTCTACCAAACATGAGTTCAAATGGTGAAACGTTTGTAGACTCATGTGGTGTACTATTGTATGCATATACTAGTGATGGTACATATTTCTTCCAGTCTTGTTTCTGAGATGCATTGAGTGTTCCTAGCATGTTGAGTAGTGATCTATTAAATCGCTCAGGCGTGGAATTTCCCATAGGATGATATATTGTGGTGCGACTTTTCTTTGTGTTTAGTAGATGACAGAGTTCTTGAATAATATCTGACTCAAAATTTGCTCCTTGGTCTGAGTGTAATCTGGTCGGAATACCATAATGAACGATGAAATTGTTGAATAAAGTTTCAGCTGTTGTTTTTGCTGTCTGGTTACGAGTTGGAATGGCTAAGGCATATTTGGTGAAGTGATCTGTTATTACTAAGATGTTTGATATTCCTCCTTTTGATTCTTCCAGAGTTAAAAAGTCCATGCACACTAATTCAAGAGGATAAGTTGTAGTTACATTCACTAATGGTGCTCTGTCATTGGTTTTACTTTTTCTCCATATGCATCTCTCACATTTGCTGATATATTCTTCTGTATCTGTGAACATGCCTGGCCAAAAATATCTTTCTCGAAGTAGTCTAAGAGTTCTATCTCTGCCAGGATGACCAACATCTGTATGAAGTCCTTTCAGTATTTCTTTTCTGTATTTTTCTGGTATAACAAGTTGTTCTCTTTCTGTATCTCCATCAATTGTTTTCCTGTATAGTACACCTCTTTTCATTGTAAAATTCTTAAAATATCTTTTCATGATAATGTCTTCTTTAGATAATGTTTTTGGAATTTTCTGATCTAAATAGGCACGTCTCCATCTATCTATGAGGATATCTTCTCTTTGACTCTTTCTTAGTTCTCTTAATTCTACTTGTGCTATAGGTTGTGTTAAGTCTTCAGTGGCTTCAAGAATGTTTAAGTTTTCACAAGGGATTGTCTCAATGTATGGTGGTATAACAGTTGTTCGGCAAATGACCTTGACCTCGTTGTTGTTAATCTTTCCCATGTTATCAGGTGTTTTCTCTTTGTCAAATGGATATCTGCTAAGACTGTCTGCATCTGCATTGTTGATTCCAGCACGATAGTAGATATCAAAGCTGTATTGTCCCAATGCTGAAGCCCACCTTTGACCTGTGGCGTCAAGTTTAGCTGATGTAAGAACATAGGTCAAAGGGTTGTTGTCTGTTAATACAGTGAAATGGTTCATTTGTAGATAGTCAGAAAATTTCTCTGTTACCGCCCATTTAAGTGCTAAAAATTCTAGCTTGTATGCACTGTAATTCTTTTCAGATTTGCTGAGTGATCTGCTAGCATATGCCACTGCATGTTTGTTGTTGTCATCTACCTGGTATAAGACTGCTCCAAGTCCTTTTGTCGAGGCATCAGTGTGTAATTCGAAAGGTTTTGTGAAGTCTGGATAAACTAATATGGGAGGCTTTGAAAGTATTTCCTATCAAATCACCTTTCATCTTTTATTCACTATTAATATTTAACCTTGCAGTTAACAGTCACTGGTGTGATAGTCAGAGAGGTAATAGTTAGATTGATGTACTGCACTCATCCCTCAGATGGTAAGTTACATGTGTGATGTATGGTGTATAATGTTTAAAAGATAAAATGTGTTAATTGTGTGTATAATTCCATAAGCTATGATATTAGATTTAAGGACTGTTGCTGAGTGTAAAGAACTGAATTGGCCACTAGACATGTAATTGATTATGTTCTAGATTAGAACATAAGATATAATATTTATTCATGTAATGCATTGTTTCTACTTTATTTTACTTTATATTTACATATTGTTATATACTTATTTCAGAGTGTTGTTGGTTTGTACCTACAGAATCTATTTGATTGGATCAGTATATAAACAAGATAGAACTTTACAGCTGTTTGTTGATTTGATTTAATCCCGAACTTACTTGACCCTCAGGGGCTCGGATAGTTATATTTATATTGCGCCGAACCACCCCTACTCTCTAGTTTATCCAATACTTGTTTTACTGTAACACCTGTCCCTAATCGCCGAACAACATCACTTGCGTTCCCCTTTAATGCTCTTCGTATTCCCAATAATATCTGCTCATCCCTGTAAGCCTTCTCCACAAGTAATGCTTCAACCTCAAATTTAAACGTCGCCCAACTCACATCACCCTTGTTGTCTTCACCTTGAAAACTAGGCAGTTTTGGGAAAGGGAATGATACTGAATACTTTGTTGTTGATGAAGATGCATCAGTACTAGTGGCAATTCCAGGAGTAGAAGTGCTAGCAGTAGATCCAGATGTAGGGGGTGTTGGTAACTTCAAACTATAAGTTTCCTTCTCTGTCTTTATTGGTGGTTCCATAATTCCGAATGACGAGGCTTTGCTTTTGATTATATGAATCAAATCATCTGAATTTTCGACTCCAAGTGTCTTTAAAGCTGACAATAAAGTCTCCTCCTCCTCTGTTATAAGTCTAGGACCTTTTGCAGCTTCATAAGTTTTTCCTTCCTCTCCGTCCGACATCTTTGGGTAATTTCACAAAGTATGTTTGTGATACTATATATAGGTATTCACTTTTTTGTAGAAATATTCAAATTCACAAAGAATGTTTGTGACACTATCACCTTTTGTAGAATTATTCAAATTCACAACATCCACTTCACATTTCACTAACACTAAAACGTGTAATCACTATGTGTTTCAGATAACACAAAATCACTATGTTTCCAGAGAACATGAAGTCACTATATCACTATGTTTCCAGAACACAAAATCACTTTGTTTCCAGAGAACACAAAATCACTTTATTTCCAGAACACAAAATCACTAGGTTTCCAGAGAATATCACTATGTTTCAAACCACATATTTCAATAAATTCACTTTAACAATGTCTTTCACTGACTTTCAACTTCACTGACTTTCAACTGTATCTATTTCACTGACTTTCAACTGTGTCTATTTCACTGCATTTCACTAATATCTATTCCTTTGACTTTCAACTTATTTCAACAACTTCCAAGCTTTATCTTATACAAAGCTATACACAAAGTTTTTATGTGTTCATTCAACACATATTTCAAAAATAAAACGACCGAAATTCACTTCAGAGCTCTATAACGCATCGAAACATGTACATGTATATCGAAATATTTGCGCAAATCGAACGACAGTAATTGTTTTAATATGATTTAAAATATTTAAAATGAAAAGAAATGCTTTCTAGAATCTCTCTTCATATGATATAACTGTTTTCTCTTTATAACAAGTTATAACTATTCAATTTCAAGTTATTGTATTATCTTATCAAATAACTTGAACTATTATTTTTATTACACAAAGTACAAATTATAATAAATTAATTCATATTTAATTAATTTATTATTTATCTGAACCACAAACTATGTGCTATTACGATAATAGTTTAAAAGTAAAGTCAAAATTTTATTTTAACTTAACTTGAACTTATTTAGTTTTAAGTTAACTTGAACTATCAAGTTTGACCTACATAGTTTACATGTATATTAATTTTCAAAATAACTTTTGTTATTTAGAATCAAAGTCTATTTTAAATTAAAAATATCCTTATTTAAATCAATAAAGATATTTATTAAATGTTAATATATTATTATATTATTTTAATTTTATTCTTATTTATTCAACACCAAGTTATTCCAGTTCTGTAATTTTATAAAACCCTATCAACTTGTATAAGTTGAAAGTGTAAACAACTTATTTAATTTAATTTCAACCTTGGATTCAAATTCCAAACTTGAAATAACCTTTATTTATATATATAA